AGGGGGTTGGCCCGGGTTGGTGAGGAAGAAGTGTTTGCTATTTCATTAAAATAATTGCAAATTCCAAACGAAGCTTCTGAACAGCGACTCCTCCCCCACCACCACCCCCGTGGTTATATTAGTGTGTGTGTTAAAAGATGTTATCCGCTAAATGGATAAATTCCATGCCATAATAAAAATCCTGTGGACAAAAAAAAACGTTAATTGAAAACACAATTTAATATTTAATAAATAAAAGTTGCTAATCCGTTTACAAACGTTGTAAGATTTTCAAATGAGTGTTATACAATCTTAAGTTATGGTGATTTTATTAACCGTTTAAATATAGTACTAAATGGCTGAAGAGTGAACGTTAGTTCTTTGATGAATGAATGTACAATTCTGAAGAATGGCACTCGCGTTGCTGACGGTAATTAATTGATTGTTTATTGTGTAGATATTGTTGCATAACTGGATAACGAAGAGATTGCATATTATACAGTTATTGTAGTTGAACAAAAAAGTCGTTTTTAGTGCTGACTTGTAGAACCTTCGAGGAGGTTGTATAGTTGATTGATAGAATTACGTAGCCCCCTCCCCAGTGACACAGTGGTATGTCTGCGGATTTAGAACGCTAGAATCGGGGTTTCGATACCCGTGGTGGGCAGAGCACAGATAGCCCTAACAGAATTACGTAGCTGACATAAAATTGCAATCACGCAAGTTTCCTGGCCTTAAAAATTGGATAGTGATACAGACTTGTAGGTGACTGGACGTCTAAAGTGAACTCGTATTGGATAATAAATATTTTCCCAAATAAAGCGTACACGGTTTCTTCCATACATCCGATAATCAACTTACACAAAATATTCATATATAATGGTCTGATAAAGAGAAAAGTGATCAAAATGCCTGCAAGCAAACAAGAGTTCATCTCATCTATTAGGCCGCAATTAGTTCTCTCGTGTTACAAGTTTAGATGTGTTACGTCACATCAAAAAGTGAAGGTCAGATGTCTTTATTAGGCATTCAAGTGATTGTAGTTGTACTTCACAAACTGGGGGGACTATTTGGCGAAGGTTTAAGTAGGCGTTTTTTTACAACAAATATTAATTCAAATTTATAAAATTTGTAAAACATAAGTGTCACGTTTTACATCCACATTTCCATAATTCATGCATATGTCAATTCCATAGAACACTTCACCCTCAAAGACCTTCACTCTGGTCAGTAGTGGGAAATTAGGGACGCCCATAACTAATTCCTAGGGGATCTCTGACTGACCACTTAGGCCACAAGTGCCGATCAGGTTGAAAAATGTAGTCCAATCCAACCTATTACGTCCTCCGGTGGGACAACGGTATGCCTACTGACTTATAAGGCTAAAATCCGGGGTTTGGTTCCCCGCGGTGGACACAACAGATAGCTCAATGTGGTTTGCCTGTAAACGAACAAACCAAACTATTACGTCCTTATTAGAACTGATAAGAACGTTTGACTATTTGCAATATTTTTAATTATTCTTTAAAGAAGAGTGTTCACTTAATAATGTTAATGCTTCTCATCACGCCAGAGTTACAATATGTTTTATCCAAATATAGACAAAAAACAAATTCCTTCCAATAAATATATTGACCAGATGAACTTCCGCAGGGATGTTTCATGTATAAATAAAACAAAAATTAAGAGTAACAAATATTTTGAAGTTCGTATGTCATGATGTGTTGTAGTCTACAGAGTGCTTAATTTTCTCGTGATTCATGGCATGCGCACGTTTTACTGGCGTCACGGCAGTACAATTCGCAGTGATAAGCGTCCCTTATGTGACGTCATTTTAGTGTCTACCGATTGTTTGACTGATTGACAGACAACATACTACTGTATAGTGTGTGTGGTTAAAACAGGTGGCTCCTCCATGCAGCCGTCGGCCCCCTTTCGGACAAATAACTTAAATACCATCTAAAAATCCAGATTCATTAAATATAAGTGTCCTCTTCAACCTAACTTTTATACTTTTAAATATTAAGTATGCTATACAAATATATGGATGAAACGTTTTTTGGTTTTAACGCAAAATTGCGCAATGGGCTATTTCGCTATGACTTATACATAGAGCATAGTTTGTATTTCAAGTCAATATAATTATTAATATTTACATAGTTTTACTGAAATAAGAGTAAGCAGAGTAAACGTACATAATGGAAAAACAATGTAAAAATATGTGCTGTAACCTTCTGTTCACTTTCATACAAACAAACATCAAAAACCTCGCGCTTTCACGCTGTTCGGATTACAGTTAAGCAAAATACATAGATCAGATTTATAAAATAACACATTATTAATTAAGTCAGTCTTGCATAACAAACTGAATAAAAGTACTTATTGTCATATATCAATTTACTTGAAAATAAAACCTACAGCGATTAAGATACAATGATTGTTTGTTTG